AATGACAAGGGGCCGTCCTATGAATTTGGGATAGCAGGAGAAGTAACAGACCTCCTCCGAGCGAAAATGGACTCCTTCGTTGCGGAGCCTACGACGTCGCCATACGCAAACCGGTGGTTCGTCTTTCGGAAGCCTAACAAGACACTAAGGTGGATTCAGGACCTGCAGAAGTTGAATGCGGTAACCATCCGGGATGCTGGCTCGCTACCTCAGACTGACTTATTAGCAGAATCGCACACCGGTCGGAGCATTTACTCCCTGATAGATCTGTACTCAGGATACGACCAGCTTCCATTGGATGTCCGGGACAGGCCATACACCGCTATGCACACCCCCGTAGGCCAGCTACAGATGCAAGTGACCCCTATGGGATTCACAAACGCGGTGGCCGAAGCGCAACGCAGGATGCTCGCTGTGGTCGAGGACATGTTCCCAGAAAAATGTGAGCCTTACATCGATGACAATCCGATCAAAGGCGCGCAGGAGAAGGACGAGACGAAAGTCCAGCCAGGGATCCGAAGTTTTGTGTGGGACCACCTGCAGGACATCAAGGACTTACTCCACCGGTTCCTAGTATACAACATTACGGTCAGTGGACCAAAGAGTATCCTAGCAGTACCGGAGGTAACTATACTAGGATTTCCTTGCGGTGCTTACGGCAGGAAACCAGATCTGGCATAGACCGACAAGATATTACAGTGGCCGACACCACTGCGCACGACGACGGAGGTAAGGGCATTCCTAGGCGTAGTCGGTTTTTGGAGGATCTTCATTAAGAACTTTGCCAAGATTGCTGAGCCTATCCGGGCTATGATAAGGGAAGAAGGAACCATGAACTGGACGGAGGAACGAGAAGGAGCTGTCCAAAAGCTCAAGGACATATTGACATCTGAGACAATCGCCCTTTCCGCGCCTTGTTTTAATGACGAAGTAGGACGACCCTTCATCCTAGAGACGGATGGAGGACCTTTGGCCGTAGGAGGTGTGTTGATCCAAAGGGATGAGGGAGGAAAAGAGAGGCCAATTAGGTTTGAGAGTAAAACCCTGAACGCCGCAGAGCGGCGGTACTCACAGTTGAAGAAGTTGGTCCTAGCCATCTTGCACTGTCTTAAGACTTTTCAGGCCTACCTATTTGGGAGGCGGTTCATCCTCAGGATCGATCCGACGAATGTTGCAGGGGCCTTAAAGAATTACAGGCCTATAGATCCGACGGTGGGGAGATGGGTAGGATTTATCTGGTAGTTCGATTATAAGATCGAACAGATTGCGGGAATTAGGAACAAGGCTGATGGGTTGAGCCAGGTCTGCATCACTCCCGAAGGGGTGGAGGATGCGGAGCCCATAGACGCGTTCCTCGAATACGAAGGATGAACTCTTGCGGTGGATAATGAAAGGATGAGCGAAGAATGCGCGTCGGGAGAACTATTGATCCAGACTTTGGAGAAGGGGGCACCTGCCATAGTAGCAGAACTTAGAGAAGGATCAGTCACCACTCGAGGACGCAGCGAGGCAAAGGACTCATGGGGAGCGATAGTAGGGCCAAAAGAGGAACTGATAGCAATGGCAGTTGAGGGAGGCCGGGAAGCAGTAATGAGCTTAGTGGAATCTTGGGAAAGGAAGGAGTTGCAATGGGTGGTAAATCAGATGCAGAAAGGAAAGGATGGGGGTCAGGAAGGGGAGGAGTTTTTCTATGTCCAATCATAATAAGGGCTCTTTCGGGAGATCGGGTTGTTGTTGGTAGGAAACAAACAACCTACGGAAGTCAGTATTAAAGCAAGAGAAGAAGCCGAAAGGTACGTCCTAAGGGGGGGGCATTTGTTCCGAAGGGAGGAAGGTGCTATGCCCAGAAGGGTTGTGTGCGGAAGATCTAGGCAAGTAGACGTTATCCAGGCAATGCACGATGGGTTGGCTAGAGGTCATCGGTCATCCAAAGGAACGCTTGCAAAGATGACGCCACTCTATTATTGGCCAGGCATGGCAGGCATGGTCGCCATATACTGCCAGACTTGCCTTATTTGCCAAGAACGAAGCTCGGTGCGGGTCTTCGAGCCGCTTAGACCAACGCGGGTGCTAGGGCCGGGCCATCTGGTCCACCTCGACCTTGAGGTCATGCCTGTATCAGCGGATGGGTACAGGTATATCCTGGATGCGCGAGATAACCTGAGTGGGTTCGTGGAGGCAGTCGCCCTCAAGAAAAAGACAGGGAGGAGTGTGGCGGACTGGATAAAAGACTTATACTTGAGGCATCCGTTCGTCAGGAGGTTTATAGAAGACAATGGGACGGAGTTTGTGAACCAAGAAGTATTGGGGATGCTTAAGAGACTCTGCGTACCGATCAAACTCATCGAGCCGTATCACCCTGAGGCCAATGCACCTGTGGAAAGGGGACACCGAACCTTGAAGAACTCGATTGCAAAACTCGCAGCGGACCGTCTGGGGAACTGGCCTAGGTATCTTAAGCAAGCTGTCTTTGCAGAGAATATGACCCCTAAAAGGACAACAGGATGTATCCCGGCAGAGCTTTGGTACGGAAGAGAGATCGACTTTCCTGTGGAAGCCTTGGTATCTACCTCTAAGTCGGGACCCAGTGGAACAATGGCTTCAGGAGGCCGAAGATAAGGAAATTGAGGAGCCACAAGCTAGAGACTGACCACAGCCTTGCCCACACTATGGTTTGTCTCTGACCATGTTCATGGGACTGTCATTTTTTTGGGGACTGGCGCTTTGGCTTGGACTGACGAAGGTTGAAAGGCAGCGTGACTTGGGGGTTTGCAATATCTGGCTTGTGTGACAACGGGAAGGGATGTCTGGGGCATTGTACCATAGTTTTTGACGAAAAAAAAAAAAAAAAAAAAAAAAA